CCCCCCGCCCCTACCCCGGGTCCTCGGCTGATGGAATGCCTGAAAACCTGGTGGGCAGATGTCTACAAGAGGGACTCCTCCCTCGACGCCCAACCAGGTCTCAGTAATACCCGCCAGGTCCGCACCCCCCTCTAAAATAAGGTCTTGTATGAGGGGGGCCTTATTTACCACGGACCTGGCGTTACATAACAACAGCCGAATTTTTTTCCCTTCTAATGCATAGCCATTTCCTTATTTTCCTTTCTAAGACAGTCTTCTTCATGTTAATGACCTTCAGATGAATTAAACTGCTATAACTTCCATTACTCACTCACAGAGAACATGTCTAAGGCCTGTATTGGGTGGGATAATTGTTAGTGGTAAAGTAATATTTTTACAGTGTGCCAAGTGGCAGATTGCCCTATAAGGGCAAAAAAGGGCAAGGCTCCTGTAGGTTTTTACATTGCTCTGGAATAGAGGAAATTATCAATAGTATTTTTTACTACCAAAAAATACTGCACCTTCCTTTTTTTAAGTGTTTGTCAGAAGAGCAGAAATCCTGCATGCTGTTACATCTGATTATCTCATTTCTCTTTTTTTAAGTCACATCTTAAAAAAACTAAAGATAAATATTATTGATGTAAACCATCCTGGGTGTCGGGTGCGAAAAATCAAGACCACGTGTTCAGTTCCAGTTAAGCTGATTTATTGCTTGTGCCTATATACAAGAATCTAGTAGTCAACTAACCATCAGCACTAAATTGATGCTAGATAAGAATTCAAGAGGGGTTGGACTTAGGCTGCTTGATTCCTCTCTTGACTCCACTCCTAGGCTGTCCTTCTCCTAAATCGGGCTACACTACTGTTTAACCCAGTTGTAAACTGAGATTGACTAGCTAAAAGTATATATCCTACATCTCGCCCAATCTTTCTTCGTGTGGGCTGTAGTAGCACAGATTGTGGTGAAAAAGAATAAGCCATATCTCAAGGAAGCTTCTCCATCATTATGGGCATTCTTAGAGAGCCTCTGATAAGCTTCTAATGAAGCTTTAAGAGTTCCTCTCAGAACAGTCTAAGAAGTGTGGCATTAAAATAATTCTCATTGCTTGCCTAACATACAAGACTCATTGAGAATAAATGTGAAAGATCCCCTTGATCAGTAGAGGGACCCTCTTGAACAGTCTCTGATCTTTATTTGCCTTTGCAGGTGAGATTGTAGTGGTGCGGGTTTGCCCTACCCAACAGGAAACGGCTACCCTGTTGCAGAAAGTCCTGGATCGGAAACAAACAGCCGCTGAATTGTTGGCAGCTGCTGTTCATCAGGAAGTCGTGCTTTCCGACCCAGCGTTGGACAATGTGGCTGTGACCATCTCGACTGACAGCTTGGCTGTATGGATTGACCCCATAGGTAAACAGAACGGCAGATGAAAGTTGGGCATCGGAAGCCATTTACATGATCTTCCTCTAGTGCTGAGTTTTGTATACAGATAGTCTTTGACTTATGACCACAATTGAGCCCAATGTTTTTGTTGCTAAGCGAGACAGTTGTTCAGTGTATTTTGCCCCATTTTACAACCTTTCTTGCCACAATTGTTAAGTGAATCACTGCAGTTGTTCAGTCAGCAACATAGCTTCACTGCTAAATGAATCTGGTTTCCCCACTGACTTTGCTTGTCTGAAGGTTGCAAAATGTGATCACATGATCCAGGGACATTGCAACCATCATAAATAAGAGTCAGTTGCCAAGCGTCCAAATTTTGATCACTTGACCATGGGGATGCTGCAACAATCATAAGTGTGGACAACAGTCATAAATCGCTTTTTCAGTGACGTTATAATTTTGAAGGGTCACTAAATGAACTGTTGTAAGTTGAGAGCTACCCATATGTGGCATAGACTGGAATATATAAAAGAGAGTTGAGGACTCTCACATCCAGTCTTGTTCCTAACCAATTGTGATATTCTATCTTTCCAGGTGTCATTTCCTAGCCTGTATCCAATATACCTTGATCAGGCATAGAGTTGATACTATTTTTAAAGTCTATTCTAGTGGGCATTCTGACATCTATTGTTCCGATGTGAAGTCTTGCTGAAGGAGTGAAGAAATTCTCCCTTTCTTACTTCTCTCTTTTCAGATTCCACTAATCAGTACATTCGTGGGTATGGCAGTGTGATGCCAGTGAATGGCATCTATCCATCTGGACTTCACTCAGCGCTTGTGCTGATAGGAGTATACAACCGTCACTCGGGTGAGCCCGTCCTTGGCATCATCAATGAGCCTTTTTTCCAGGAGGAGCTGCCAGCACACAGGTAACAATAGCAC